AGGAGAGGTCCTGATCCCCAACTCTGGGGTCACCTCACCTGAACTCCAAGCTCACTCCACATGCCTTTTTCTGGCGAGGCTGAATGTCAAAGGAAGAAGCCTCTACATTGCTGCACCATCCACCATGTAGGGAAGCATGGGAGCCTCGGAAGAGAGGTCCTGGTCACCTCGCCTAAACTCTGAGGCTCACTCCACATGTCTTCCTTTGGCAAGGCTGAACGCTAAAGGAAGAAGCCTCTACATGGCTACACCATCCACCATGTGAGGAAGCATGGGAGCCTCGGAGGAGAGGTCTTGATCCCCAACTCTGGGGTCACCTCACCTGAACTTCGAAACTCACTCTACATGTCTTTCTTTGGTGAGGCTGAACGCTAAAGGGAAAAGTGTCCACATGGCTGGACCATCCATCATGTAGAGAAGCGTTGAAGCCTCGAAGGAGAGGTCCCGATTCCCAACTTTGGGATCACTTCGCCTGAACTCCGAGGCTCGCTTCACATACCTCCTTTTGGCAAGGTTGAACATCTAAGAGAGAAGCCTCAACATGTATATCTCATCCACCATCACTTTACCTCAATTCGAACTCAATGGAAAGATTCAGTCAAATAACCTAAGTGCAACTCATTAAGTCATCATTTATATGGCTTGATTATTAGCTCACCATGAAGCAAGATGTCAAGTTTAGATTTCTAACTCAAACTTATGCTTGATTATTTACCGAGGTGCATACACTTGATATTGAAAAGAAAGCAAAACTTTGCAAAACATGACATTCATTAATATTGAGTACATTACAAGAGGTGGGCTTAAGGCCAGTATATTGATATAAATTAAAAAGGAATCCTAAACTAAGTTTCGGATGATGGAAGGAGCGCCTCTGCAGCAGGAGCTTCAACAACCTGAGCGTCAGGCCCCTCTTCAGTCCTTTCTACTGCTTCTTCCCTTACTGCTTCTTCTGCTGGGGTCTGAGGTACCTCATCCAAAAACTCAGACCTAAGTTGAGATAGGTCGTAGCCTGGGTAAAGTTCCTCAGCCCTCTCCATCACTTCAACGTAGCCGAAGTTCCTCCAGTATGAGCTGAAACTTCGGTACTCCTCAGTGTTGTGGAAATTGGCAATGAACTCTTTAACTACCTCCTTCCCGCCACCTTGGTTGCCTCCCTCGCCTTGGCAAGTTCATCAACATGCCATTTTATTTGGTCATTCAGAAAGTTATATGCATCCTTGGCCCCAGCAAGCTCAAGGTTTACTTTTTCCAGTGCCTCAACAGTGACCTTCTGATGATTATTTGACGTCTTCACCTTTTTAGTGAGGGAGGTCACCTCACACTGAGACTCATATGCCTCCTTCTTCAAGGCCTCTATTTGGACCAAGGCAAATTCCAACTTGGCAGCGTCTTCAACTTTTTGGGCATTTGTCTCCTTTACCTCGGCCCTCAACCTCTTCAACTCCTCCTCAGCAAAGGTCAGCTTCTTTTCTGAGGACATGGTCCTCATTTGGAAGTCAGTGAAGACCTCCCTATGCTCCAATGCGAGGTCAAATGTCCTCGCGCTTTGGCTCATCAGGGCCCTTGAGAGGTCGACGACATCGCAGGACGAGGCGTGCAGCACCCACCTATCAGTCCAAAATTTATAAAAATGGTTTTCATTATAGAATGTTTGTTAGTGCCGATAATGCCGTGGATAATGTAAATACTGAATGATATTGGGTATCAATATCGTTGTACATTCTCCATTGTAGTAAGTTGAAGAAGTCGATCCCTACTAATGTCTTGTTTCATATAGGTGCTCAAAGCGTATGAATTTTATATATTTCAAATCAGAAAAAAGTTAAATTTGTATAGTTCAAGATAGAGCAATTCTCCCAAAATTCTATAATTTTTTCTCGTATCAACAATATATTTATTTCAAAATAAATTTTAAATTATTTTGAAGTAACTGAAATCAATATTCGATGCCGCATAATTTGAGAAAAGGATTGAACAATGTAGCTAGGAAATAAATAAATGGTGCACGTCAAAAAATATTTATGAAAGTGTTGTCCATCCTGACAATACTTGTAATAACAAAGAATCTTCACCTTATATATATAAAACAGAATTTAAATTGAGGAAACGAGATTCACATTGCATAAAAGTCAAAATACGTTAAACAGATTATAAAATAAAATGCATATATTCCATTCATCATCGGTCAAAACAACTTTATTTGAATTTGATAACGAAACGTAGTCATTTAATTTCTATAACAAATCAAAGGTTCAAGACTGTTACACTTCGATTCAAAATCCAAGTCAAAAATTTGAATTTGAACTCCGCTGCTGTTTTTGGAATAGTTATTAGGCCCGATCCGATAGTCAATTCAAAAAAAATTGTTGGATTACTGGATCAGTGGTTCAACCAGTGGGTAATTGTTAGCTCTTAATTTTAATTAAAGTATGTTTTTGAAATCCAAAAAATAAATAAATTCCTAAATCTAAACAAAAAAATTAGCTCATACCATATTACAAAGTTTCATCAATTATCAAAATGGTGAAGGAACTGAAATTTCATGCTGGAAACTCAAGTTCAAATCACTGTCATTGCTAATTGAACATAAAATGTTATACTGCACTTTGGTAACCATTTGGTTCACACATTGAACTGATTTCGATCCCCTTTTAAATCCATCGAACCAGACGATTATTGTGTAGTTCAACGGTTCTTGACGAGTTTCTTTGCTTACTTGATCAATTAATGCACTTAGACTGGACCACTATCTGGATCGGAATAATGTTATTTGCAGTCGCTCACTGCGGCAGTCGCCCTACGTGGCATACACATGGCAGGTGGTTATTTGATGTATTAATGAATAAAAAAACTACCATATTAATGCATCAAATAATCACATGTCATGTGTATGCCACGTAGGGCGACTATCACAGTGAGCGACTACGAATAGCATTACTCATCTGGATCGAGATCTCAATTTTAACAACTATGATTTCGAGAATGGTGAAAGTTACATTGAAAATGGTGTTTACACCCCATATTCCAATTTTGCACTCCCTAATTTACCTATATAAGCATCAAGTTGTATCATGATAGTAAACACTTAACATAACAATCATATTCAAATGCTCTGCAAGGATTTAAAAAAATAATAATAGAAAAAATAAATGCATAGATATCGTGAAAATACTATTATTAACAATACATGGAATACATGAAATGTTAAATAAATTATTTATCAAATTAAAGTCTTATAAAGAATGTGAAATAATTTATGCAACGTGACAATTAAGTTCATCCAATTCAATGTAGTTAACAATTTCTTTGTAAGAGTCAAATTATTATCATTAAGATATTATATTACCAGATAAACGTACCAATTACCATAATGAGAATATGTAGAATCAAAAACTAAATAAATATTATCTCTATAGTTTACAAAATAAAAAAAATAAATTAACATTAATTCTTTTTTATATTACCGAACCATAATCTTTGAAATTTAGGCAAGAAACCGAATAAATTATTTCGTCTGAAAACGATGATATTGGGTTCGCTATTACATAAATTACATGGTATAATTATACAACAAAAAATATAGAAGTAGCAATAGTGAAAGTTCTTTTTCGAAGTGGTATACTAATATCAATACCAAAAAATGTTAATATTAGAAAAAAATTCAATCAAACACTTGTGAGAGTGATGAGAGCAGATATTGTATCAAAATAAGAAATTTAGAGAATGTGTAATGAGAGCATAAATTATGTGAAAATTGACGGCAATGTCACTGCCTTCTTATAAGCAAAATCTCAAGGCAAAAAATTGAAATGCAAAGAAAATATTTAAAAATTCAAATTGAAATTTTCATGCTATCGTTCAACAACTACTTGAAATAACAATTTTAGACCTTCCACGACTGCAAAATGTAGCAATGACAATTGTCTCAATTTTTTTAGGGCTTGGCCAACCTATTAGCTCAGCCACCATTAGCTCGCACAAGGATTTCCCCACCCAGTTCGCGCCCATGACTCATATGTGAGGCTAGGCGAGTCGATCAGCAGTTTGTTCCACTTGACACCCTTAAATGCATTTAAAATGGTTGACATAAAGTAGCCCCCCGGGGCATAATTCGGTAGTGCAAAGGACAGGAGTGAGGTAGTCTCAGCCTTGCTGGCAGTCGTAGTGTGAGGGTTCGATTCCTGATATATGAAATTGGACTCTTTGTGGGCACCAGTGTACGGGCAAACTCTTGTTCCCTGATCTGTTGGGATACATCCCTCGATTTACCTCCCTCACGATTCTCCAAGAACGGGACGGTGGAGCCCTCAAAATTGGAGTTCAACCTTTTTTTTTTTTTTTTGGGTTAACGTAAAGTAAACTTATCAATCATTTATATACCAGGTCAAACTAAGCTAATAGGCAATAGCTTTTATATTGGCATAAATGGTAAGTATTCATTATATTATTGTACCCAATCCTTTGGGTTGGCTTTAAGTGGGCGCAGACCCAAATTGTATTGAGATTATTAACCTGGACTATACTTATTGATTGAGACAAAATCGAGGTACGCTAATAACAAATATTCGTCATGTTACTGTATCATAATCAATGATGAATGAATTGTTAGTTATCTCATGGGATTTTAAGATTATATAGAGATAACAATTTTCTATTTAATTATTTTAAGATGTTTCCACTAATCTCAATAAATATATAATGAAATGATTAATTTTAATTTAATTTAATAAGAATAAGTAACCTTTGAATTTGCATTCTATACTAAAATTTGATCCATTTACGATCCAAATTAACTAATAAAAAGTAACATAAAAATTGGAAATTAGTAAGTGATCGGCATATATCATTATTTAATAAAAATAGGGTTAGAAGTAAATTCTACAATAACATTTCTTGATTTAATTATGAATTTATGTACAATATGTGCTTATCTTATGCTAAACATAGGTGACATGACATCAATTCATTGGCAAATAAATTTATGGTAACTCTCAAAATTAGAATTAAATTTGTTACCTACCAGTGAATTCATATGGCACCAATGTATATCCCGAAAAGTTCAAAAAATACAAACCTTAAAACTCAATTAAAAAAAATAAAATAAATAAATACAACAATTTTTATACAATCTAACCAATCTTCACAAAATCGTAAGACTAAGCAGGATTTTTTTCAATTCAAACGCTCCTATCATATACTTCTGTAAATGTGAAGGTGGCCTGAGAAGAAGGTCCTGGGGACAAAGTTGAAGAGTCCAAATTATCAGAGCCAGATGATACGAAATTGGAAGGGCTGTGATTGATTTGAGCTTTGGTTTTAGGGGCACTTTTAATGTTTAGGTCCATGAGATCTGTGATTAATCCCGGCTTTGTTATCTTATTTTCATCAAAATCCTTCTCCCTGGTTAGCATTTGGACAACAGTCGACATAGATGGTCGAAGTTTTGGAAAATCTTGAGTGCAGATAAGACCGATCTTTAAGAATCTGCAAGCCTGTTCAGGGTCGAAATCTCCATTAAGTGCTGTATCTACTAGTGATACAATCTCCCGTCTTTCATGAAGTTGCCATGCCTGGAACACAATTTCAGTCATCTACATGTCTCAGAAAATAGCTATCTAGTAGGATATCAAAGGCTTATGCAATATGAAAAGTACAGAAATAATACGACCCCTTTTTTAGCATTACTTTTAGAGCTACAATTTAACTCTTGATATGACTTAAACAAGTTTTTAAAAGACCTTCTAGAAAGAGCTCATTAATAGTATATCAGAATATGAAATATTTACGCAATGGTAAAAAAGAATGTGATGTATGCATTGTTTTTAATACCCTTTCAAGAATATATTTTTCTTCAGCTGGTAACCATGAGTTCGTGTTGCATCTACCACTGACTATCTCGATGAGAAGAACACCGAAACTGTAAATATCAGCCTTGCATGTAAGCTGGCCTTTCATTGCGTATTCTGGTGCTAAGTAACCTCTGCACAATAGGCATAGATTCAGGTAATAAATCACGACATGAGAAACAGGGCTAAGACAGATATCAGCTCAGCTCTATAGAATATGAAATTCACTTCTTGCTAGCATGTTTGACTGTGCTTAAAAAACTACTTTTCCAGAGAGTAACTCTATAATTAGGATTGGCAAAATAAGTAACTTAAATATAAGTTTGACTTACTTTCAAGCACAGCCAAACATGCTCTTAGACCCTCTGTAAACTTCAACACGACGATTAGAGCATACAAAAACATGCTTTCAACACATCTAGTAGGAATTTTACTACTCACATGGTTCCTGCCACACGCGTACTGACATGAGTCATGTCGACAGGGATGAGCTTTGCAAGACCGAAATCTGAAATCTTAGGGCTCAAATCTTTGTCGAGAAGAATATTGCTAGCTTTGATATCCCGATGGACAATAGGCGGTTTCACTTCCTCATGAAGATAAGCAAGTCCCTTTGCAACTCCAACACAAATTTTAACCCGTGTTTGCCAGCTAAACTGGATGCTACTATGACGTCCACCTAAAGCACAACGTTTAACAGCATCAGATTCATTTCTCTTTATTTTAAGGGGGAAAAATATTGTTTCAAAATTTTTTAGCTGGTGAAATTATTTTCTTTTGCACGAACTATGAAGTCAGTAATTTAAGAAAAAGTGATTATACCAATAAGCGTTTGTGCGAGGCTGCTATTCTCTAGGTAGTTGTAAACGAGAATTCTGTGATTTCCTTCAACACAACATCCATAAAGCTTAACTAAATTTTCATGCTGTACATCAGAGATCACTTGAATCTCTGTTAGAAACTCTTTTACTCCTTGTGTTGATCCGGGAGAGAGAACTTTTATGGCAGCCATTTTCTCATTCCATATTTTTCCCTATTTTTCAATAGAAACAACGTCATTCTCCAAACTGCAAAGATCATTAATTAACACTGTGTAATAGGAAGGAGAGTCTACCTTATAAACAGAACCAAACCCCCCTTCCCCAATTTTATTGGTCGGACTAAAATCATTAGTAGCCCTTCTCAGCTCTTTGTAGGAGTAAAGTACAACATTGTGGACACCAGGGAGCTCTGTTTATGATTCAACATCAGTAGAATATTCTAAATATGCACAACAAATAGGTTAAAAGAAAACGACTTATGCACTGCCTGTTCAAGTGCTAAAGAAAACTTATAAATAAAGGTCTAGATAAGATCTATTCCAAGATATTACGTTGGAGTTTACCGTCACCAAGCTCGGATGAATGTCTTGTTGGTGGATTCGATCTTCTACCACATAAGAAAGAAAAGCAAGAAGTCATCACTAAAGGGTTCACCAATGACTTCCCTATTGGGAACTACACTGGAATTGCTTCAGTGAAACAAAACACAGCCTGCCAAATTGATTCATACAGATTCTATTTAGTACTAAATTAAAATAGAAACTCATAAGAACCCAAACAAATTAGATATCTGTCAAACAAAGGGTTGTGAAAGAATGAATTGATACAATTACAATCCTGCAAGTGCTGGTCCAATAATAATTTATACAAGTAAAACAGATCACTCCTTCCAATTTCTGTGGCATTAAAATTCATACTTGAGACATGCTACAAGATGTTTGTCTGGGAATTTTGAGCCATATCTCCTTCAGAGGTTCAAATTTATTACAGGTTTGCATATGCTTGTTCACTCAGATGTGAAGCTAGGTGATAATTAAGAGCATATTTGGCAAAAAGTAAGTTTTGTTAGTAAAAAGGTTACTTTTATGATATGTTTGGCAAAAAAGAAGCTTAAAAGTACTACTAGTCAAGCTTAGCAAAACATGAAATTAAAATACATGTTTTTACATCATTGACTAACTTAAAACTTTGAAAGAGTAATAGATAGTCCATGAAATGTATCACTTGACTTGATACAGTATAGGGGTTTGGAGTTCATATTTATTCGCTTGTTAATCTTTCAGGACCTCATAATATACACCCAAAGTAATACTAAAATGGGAATTCCTTCCTTACAAAGACAATAAAATATCATGAAGTTTAAAATTTTTAAACTTAGAATGGAAATGATATTGATGGAGCATTAAATGTTTATTCAAGAAGGAGTCAAAATAAGGATTTCTTTATTTCCAAATATTTTAATTTTCTGTATACTGTTTGTTACCTTAGCTACAGTATATTAAACCCTATATAAAGAGTGTAATGCTTCGTATTCAACCACAATGTTATTGAATACATTATACAATTGCAAGCTTCTCTCTCTCAATTTTCATTCAGATTGTTAGTAGTTGATTGTTTGTCGTCGTTAGATATAGCTTTTCAACAAGAATTATTGTGCAACACATAAGACTGGTAAAAATTCAGAAACGATTTCTCTATAATTGCGAAGGTTCCTTCTGAGGAGGTTTTGCAATTCTTTTATACGCATTACAACATATAGTTGAAACTAAGTCGCCGTGTTGGCTTTTCTGAAACATTTGGGTTTTTGATAACTGAGGCATTTTTTACCCACCGAAAAATGATTTTCCCGGCAGCTAAACTAGCAAGTTTCATAAACAAAACAAAAGCGAAAACCAAATTTGTTCGAGTACCGAATTGGAGAAACACAATTCCAACTCTTTCCGATTTCCAATTTTATCAATGTTTCTCGGTTATTATTCTGATTTCCGAGTGGAAGATTCTTCTTTTAATTAATTATACGAAGTTTACATTTCCAATCAGTACCATTTTCATGTATTAATTTTGCCCTTAAAAAAGCAGCTCCAACCTAAAATAAAATCTGTGATGGAGTGTGCAAATCAAGATCACCTCCTCAATTTAGAGTAATACACAGAACCAAAACCCAGTAACAAAAAAAAATAAAATAAATAAATAAATAAATAAAAAATCAAAGAAATAAATATATGGAAACCCAGATGAGAAAAATACCTCGGAAAACAGAAAAGTAAGCAGGTGAAATCGAGAGCTTCAGGGGGTTAAGAAAATCTTGAGGGGCAACTGCAACTGCAACAGAATATGAAAATAAAAGTACTAACGAAGAAAAAATGAAGTGCTGAAACATCTATACGTTATAGAGATTTATGGTCTGGCCGTCTGCCAAATGAGACTTTCATTTCCTTCAGCGCCATATACATGAGGTAAGCAACTAAGCATGCGTGCGTCATGACTCTTGACCTAAGTGATCACTTCACAAAACCAGTTTTTAAAACAGGTTGCACGTTTTTAAAATTGGTTTGACGTTTACTTTTTGGTAATTTAAAAGTAATTTCAGTGTTTAAATGGAGAAGTTGAATTTTGACAAATTCGTTCATTCTTAAATAATTAAGAGTACATTTAATTGTCAATATTTTTCATGAAAATTTTACTTTTTCACCAAAATTTCTACCTTAGTACTGTTTGACTGACATTTTTTTTGCTATAGAAAACATTTTCCTACTTTTGATCACTTAGCCATATTTTTCTCAAAATCAAAAAAAATATTTTCTTTAAGGGGAATAAAATTTTATTTTTCAGAAAATTCACTCTCTTCCTCTCTCTCATCTACGCACCAATGAAAATTCGACATGTATAATATTTTATAGATTGAAAATTAAATCAATCAAACACATTTAATTGACAATTTTCATGAACATAAGTTCCAGACAATTGAATTACCTCTAATTTATTTTCTTTTAATGCTTGCAATCAAATACACCCTAATATTTTTAATTTTTCCATCAACATTGATAGTCCATAATGATTTGATCTCATGCGACATGTTCAACTTTATGAAATGAAATTTTGTTTTTCAACTTGCGGAGCTATCCAAAAATTTGAAAGAGACAATTTAACGATGCCCACGTGACAATTTATTAGAGATCGATTAACATTTTCTTCATGAAACATGAATTGTGTGCGACTTCTAAAATGCCAATGAACAACTTAATATTTAGGCAATAAGTTGGAAACAAACAATGTAATTTTCCTGTTATTTTTAATCAAAGATTTTAGCTCGTCCAATTATTAAAACATACTGTAAAAAGTCATATAAGAAAAATTATTTTATTCTCTTGTTTGAAAAAATTGTAATGTGATTATAATGAAGATAAGTAATATGTCTCACGAAATAGGTGAATAATAAATAAATTCAAGTTGTTAATATATGATTAAAATTATTAGTTTACTTTGATTTTAAATTATAAGAAGATTATTATGAAATTCAAACATGATCTATAAATGTTTCTTTTGGAGAAATTATAAGTTGTTGAAATTATAAATTGATATAAATGAGTAGTGAATAAGTATATAGAAATTATACAACTCACAAAACGTGTGATTAAAATGAAAGTTTGATTTTAATATATGAGTGCATTAAGTCCTTGTTTGATCTTCATTATTTTTAAAATATATTTTTTCTATTGATAACATATTCTTTAATACAATAATATTATATGTAAATTTATAACTTTTTGTTATTTTCTAATTATACGTTATTCAATAAAATAATATTAAATAATCTGAAAAAGTCAGAGGAGAATACTTGTTTTCAAGTCAGCGAACAAACTTCCTGGTAAAAAAGGAGAAGGTGTTTCATCATGCCATCGAAATGCTGATAAGGGGAATAAACTGTCGCGTTCAAAGTTCAAACATTAATTTGAGAAAGTCATCAAAGAATTAAAGTTAATCCGTTTCCCATTATTAAAAAAAAAAAAAAAAATGAGAGAGAGAGAGAGAGAGAAGAAAAAGGATTTTTTTTTTTTCAAAATAAAACTTTTGAAAAATGTGTGGTAAAAAGTGATGATAAGTTTTGAATTCTATAAAATATGAGGTTAAAAATGATTTTGAGAAAAAATAATTTTAAAAAAACTTTGACAAATACGCCAAATATAAAACGAGTGCCTCTCAAAGTTTGTTTGGCTGGACTTATTAGAGTCAAAAGAATTGAGACTATAAAGTTGTTTTTGGACATGTTTGAATAATTTATTTAAAATAATGATTTGTCTAATTAAAAGAGCTTTTTGAGAGGACGATGATTTAAGATAGCTTCTATAAAAAGTAGAATTAGATTCTGTTTGACAAAGCTTTTGCAGGTGTTTCTATTTTGAAAAACACTTATTGCCCAGGCTCAAAGCCAGGGCTAAAAACAGGGGGGCCAAGTGGCGCCCCCCTATTGGAGGGGGGTCTGAAATTTCAGACCCCCCTCCAATAGGGGGGCGCCACTTGGCCCCCCTGTTTTTAGCCCTGGCTTTGAGCCTGGGCAATAAGTGTTTTTCAAAATAGAAACACCTGCCCCCTCCAATAGGGGTCAGAACCCCCTCCAATAGGGGGGCGCCACTTGGCCCTCCTGTTTTTAGCCTTGGCTTTGAGCCTGGGCGTGCAGCAATGCTCTTCTATTTTTATGTAAGAACATTTTGAGAAATCTGCGTGCTGTCAGCTTTCTTTTAAAACTTTTCGGAGTAAACAAAGTCCTTGCAAAAAAATAAAAAATAAAAAAATACACAAATCAAGTCCAAAAGTAATTTGTTATTATTAATTTTTCAAAAGTCAGATCTCGTCAACACATGCTTCAGAAGTAGCAGCTATTTCATAATATTGCATAAGAATGGCATGACTTCTAAGGTGTAATTCGTGCAATGGTTCATTGTATTTTTGTCTTTTGGAATAGTGTTGGGTCGAGCGCCTCACAAAGTTTGTTTGGCTGGACTTAAAGTCAAAAGAATTGAGACTATAAAATTTGTTTTTGGACATGTTTGAATAATTTGTTTAAAAAAAAAAAAAATTGATTTGTCTAATTAAAAAGGCTTTTTGAGAGGAAGATGATTCAAAATAAAAGGTTAAAGCCTAACCTTAAGGGTCCTCCACCACCCCTACTCTGGAGTATCGTGAGGGAGGTAAATCGCAGGTTATGCCTCCAAGGGTACAGGGTGGAAGGCTGCTTGTATACTTGCACTTACCCAAGAGCCAAATCCATATTTCAGGATTCGAACCCTTGACGCAGCAGCCTCAAGCAAAGTTGGATTTCTCCACCCTCCCCTTTTACCACTTGGAGATGTGCCTTGAGGGCCGGAAGATGATTCAAAATAGCTTCTATAAAAAGTGGAATTAGAGCCTTTATGGCAAATTTTTTGCATATGTTTCTACTTTTGTGTAAGAACTTTTTGAGAAAATCACGATAGTGGCTACTTTCGCTCCTCTTCCTTCTTGAAACGAATACTACAAACATTGCAAAATGACTACCAAATTCATAGCCATTATATTTATATGAAAATATATCAAATTCGTCATTTTGTCCAGACGAATTTCATTCAAAAGGGCCTAAGATGTAACATTTTAAAAGTTTTGGGTTGACAGTTGCAACAAATAAAATGTTAGGAGAAATTCTGCTAATATTTAAAAAGCTCGAGACTTCTGCTGCAATTATCTCTTTTTATCTGTTGGAATAGTTTTGTGGCGAGATCTTTGCATTAATCATTAAGACCACTTAATCATTTGAGATTCTCCAACGTCAAATTTTATGTTAAATTATTTAATTAAAAATCATATTTAATGAAAAATTTCAATTTATTATATCAATAAATATTCTAGTGCTAATTTATTCTTAACTTCTAATTATCAAATTTGTAACTTTAGAATTTTTAATGAACAATTTTAATTTATTTTATCAATAATTATTACTTGATTAGAATTTAAAAATAAATATTAAATAAAAATAACCATCATATTAAAAAAATTATAAATTAAATCAAATCTATTAATTCTAAAAGATTAAAAAATGGACATAGAGAGAACAAAAATTTGTTGTAAAAAGGAAGAGAAAATAAAATGAGAAAAATATAATTACCCCAAATTCGGCATAAGTGAATAATGGTACCCCAAATTTGGTGTGCTATTGGAGTGGTTTTTACGCCACCAAATTTGTCTAACCATTAGAGATGGTCTAAGTGGGTTGCTCTTATTTCTTTTATTGAGAAAACGAGCTCGTAAAATGTCAAAAATGCGAGCGAGGGTGATTGTATTTTGATGCTTAAATCAGTTTAAGCGTTTAGGAAAGAATATGAAGTCCGATGCTAAATATTTTGACCACTTTGAGTAGAGGGACTTCAGGGTTTAGTTGGACACCAAATATTCGAAAAATTTCAGTCCTTGAACTGGACATAGAGTCGTACTAGCATGTTGAGAATATAAAATCCTCATGACATGACAAATTTTTAATTATGGCTTTGTTTGATTTTCATTCTTTTAAAAATATATTTTTCTTTCTTTTCTTTTCAATAATACATTATTAATTAAAATAATATTATACGTAAATCAAAAAGTTTTCTTTATTTTTCAATCACACATTTCATATCAATCTACCATTCCAAAATACAATTTTTCATGAAAATAAGATTCAAACACCCTTTATGTTATTGATTCGTCGTCAAATCAGCTTGATAGGTCTTATTTTCTATACAGTAAGGCACTAATTTTCTAGGGAAAATGAAATTAAAATGTCAATTTTTAACTTTTGTGTATTTGATAGTGTTTTATTTTTCATGGAAATTAAATTCTTGAATTTTTTTGGGAGTTGTAATTTTGTAGCATTTGTGGGAATAGAATGTGGGGATTGATTTTCCTAGTTACTATTAACTTTTTTTTTTTTTTAAAGTAATGGAAATAAATTTTAAGAATTATTATAAAAAAATATTTCTCTTTAATTGACAATTTTCATGTAAAACAAAGTTAAACGAACACTAAAAGATGGATATATTTTTTTTTTTTTGCAATGAAAATAAATTTCATCCCCAATACCAGTAAATTTCATCTTTTTAATTGACAATTTTCATGTAAAACAAAGTCAAACGAACATAAAAAATACTTTTATTTCAACATTTTCCACGTGGAAAATTATACCAATCAAACACAATTTACAATTCCTGAGAAAACAATTTATAGGTAATTTAATTATCTGAAATTCGTTTTCTTTCCACCTCAATTCTATTTTTACAATCAAACGGACCCTAAGTTATTTTTTGATAAACATAATATTATATTTTATATGACTTTATGTCAAGTGTCAATATTGCAAGAGAGAATAAGCACTAACACAAAACTCTTAACTATTTGTAGTGTTGGACTAACGTCAATGCACAATAGATCGTTTTATATTTAAGCCTTGTTTGAAACAAATTATTTTTTAAAAAAAATTCTTAAATAGTGATTTAACATCATTTCAACTACACATTTTTAATAAAATAATATTACACGCAAATACAAAACATTTCCTTATTTTTTAACAATATATTTTCTATCAATATACTATTTAAAAATGTATTTTTATTTCAATAATGTGGATCAAACAAGGGCTTAGTTATATTTAACTTGATCCCGATGCATGAATCTTTTGCAATGTTCTAAATAATAACAGAGTAATGCACTTGTAGCCTGCCTGTGCTTTGAAAATGAAAATTAAAGCAGAATTTTATTTTTTATTTTTTAGACAAAAATGGGAAAGAATTCATTCACCAATTCCAGCCAATAGTGGATGTACAAGTGTAACAAAAATGGCTGATAAAATAGATTGCAATTTGATACCATATCCAGAAGCAAGCCACAAGTCCAGCGCCACGTGTCAACCTGTCAATCTCAGTGGCTGGTAATTATCATCATCATCATCATCAAGGACATTCTTAGGAAGACAGAGCACAAGAAGCATAGCACATGGCAACCACAGTCATGAGTTCACAATGCCTAAAGCCCTCTCCATTCACCTTTGAGAAAGTTGCACCAAGAGGAAGAGGGCTCCCCTCACTTGCAAGAACCTCCTCTTTCAAAGTCGAAGCCAGCGGTGGCAAGAAAATCAGAACCGACAAACCTTTTGGTTAGTTTTTTTATTCGAAATCGTTTGTAAATACTCAATTTCTTTAGGGTCTCCACTTTATTTTATTCAATTGGACAACTTAGGAGAAACATAATTATATAGTCGAATTTGATTTATTTTATTTGATTTTTTTTATTTTGGAATCAATCGGTTGATGAAGCTGAGGTTGTTGGGATGGTTTTTTTAGGAATTAATGGAGGCATGGCACTTGCGGATGGTTTGGATGCCTCTGGCAGGAAGGGCAAGGTAAGCTACCTTGTACACGTTTAGTAAAAAAAAAAAAAAAAATTAAGCTTATAAGCTAATCAAACATTATTTTTAATCACAAATTGCTCAAAACTCAAAACATTTATCTACTTTTTAATCTGCATTTCTTAAGTCTCTTTGCTTATAAGCATTTAAAAGTTTAACCAAACTATGTACCATGGACGTGTGTGTTTTCTGCATTGATTTCACTCTTACCATTTTCTTACTAAAATTGATTCAGGGAAAAGGTGTTTACCAATTTGTAGATAAATATGGAGCTAATGTCGACGGATACAGGTGAATATTGTACATGCATGAATGGTAAATTGTACAACTGAAAAGATTTTAACTTCTTTATGATTCGATAATAATGTACGTCTCACTTTACTAGACAAGCCATATATGCATGATTTTCATTCCCCAATTTACTTCGAAATTATAAGGCAACTCAATTTGTCGTCTCGACTGAAATGCAGTCCCATTTACAACACTGATGATTGGTCTCCAAGTGGTGATGTATACGTTGGAGGTAATTGATCGTAAGTTTTAAGGGCTTTTGATATTTGAGTTTTGCTACAAGTACTCAGAGTTTGAGGTATCCAGAGTTTGACACTATGGGTCACCTGCTACTCACATTGGGGTCAAGGGCCCCACGCCAATAAATGTGTGAGGCCCGACCCCCTCATTCACATCAGGTAACTTGGGATGTCAAACTCTGGGTACAAATAACAAGACTCTTGATATTTTCTTTTTAAATGTATGTAATAATGATTTTAACAATAAAAATATTATAATGAAATGCAGGTACCACTGGATTAGCAATCTGGGCTGTCACTCTGGTTGGTCTTCTTGCAGGAGGTGCCCTTCTTGTTTACAGCACAAGTGCTTTGGCACAGTAGACCAGTATTTCAGCAATTAAAATGTCCAATCTAGCTTGTATCAAGAAACTTTATAGAACAATATTTTGTGGATTCTTAAATCATCTGTAATATGTAATACTTTGTTATGGATGTTCTGTGTATGGTTGCACTTTTCTTCTTGCATCAGATAAATTCCACAACTCAGAAAAGGAACCAGAAAAAATAGGTTATGATAAACTGCATTTCTAGGACCTGAGGCAACGGTAAATTTCAAAGTGCGGTTAAGAAGAAAAGTGAGCATTTCTCAGTTGATCTCAAAATTTATACATCTCTATCCCCTTTTAACCCCTTAAGACCCTGAAGAGAACAAATTCTCTCCCTTCTTTTCCTCTCTAGCATTGGCATAGGGGTGCATGAAATACAACTAAAATACACGCTTTATTGAAATCTAATGTGTAAAATGGGCATTTCAATCGTTACTCCAAAAGTCAAAACAGGGATAACCCTGAACAGATCAAACCGAACTGAATGAGGATCTAATCTGTGCTTCCATTTTAACGTTTGTTCCTCTCTTCAGACACATGATGATCAATCTTCCAACCAAGCTCAATTAATCTTATTGAATTTCTTCAAAAATGTCTTCTTCTTGAGGTTGTGGTGGCGACAACTTCATGTAAGAGGTCCCTACTTGTCCAATTCCCTCTATAAACATGGATCGAACTTTCTGCACAGATAAATAAATAATATACCTCTTGTTTCCTCACAAATAGTAAACATTCAAATGATAGAACTCGTGCAACATTAAAATTTTAACGATGGAAAAGGAAATACATTATTACCTGAAAGCCACGAAAGGGAATTAAGACATACTATCATAGACTGCAAATACCTCAAAGAGCCTTACCCACCGTATTAGTAGTTTTCTTTTCTTCTCTTACATAACCATGTATTGATCAAATGAAAATGACACAGAACTAATGGAAAAAGAAATAAATAGAAAATGCATGTCTTGGTTCATACGGTTCAATAAATTTATTTATCCTATCAAATCAACTCAATCCTTTATTTTCATTGGGCAAATTTTTGAGAAGGTTCTTGTCCTCGGCAGCACAAGTAGCTATCATAAGTTGTGCACTAGAAGGAAATCCGAAGGGGGGAGCTTAGTCATACAGAAAATATTCAAGTTATGGGATGAGCTGTGTGGGTAAAATACCTTCTCTATTTCTTCGGAGACGAGAGGATTTTCTTTCAGGTACTGTAATGCTCTGTCTCTTCCTTGTCCCAATCTTCATTCAAACATTAATATAAGACGAGCAACAAATAAACTATATAAAATTGAAAGACAGTTATCGCATTGAAAAGACTTGGAATAAGTAACAGAGCTTAAACTAATCCAAATGCTATACCAGCTGAAACGCAGAGTTCAGTTTTTAGTTTTTAATATGACATAAATATATTTCCAAACAAATTTCTTTCACCGCCTCGTTACACAGAACCCAATTACCCATCCTCACCGCACTTTCACCTTATCAAGAGAAAAGTTGTCAATATATATTACACGAAGAGTAAAGAATACATCAGACTATATTTTACTTCTTGAACACTTTTAAATCTTATGCTCAAGGGTACTCGCATTTCGTCAAGGAGCTGCGAGTTTTTAGCAGCAAATAATACGCAAATTCAATATTGGTATTCTCTGGAAGTGCAAGAATCAAACAAATAAATGTTTGATCATTTAATGGTTCCAGCACAATGCATGTAAGGTTCATCTAAAAGTTCCAACCATATTTGATAAATAAAACCTGTGATCTCCATAGCTGTACCACGAGCCCTTCTTCAAGACAATATCCATTACTTCAGCACAATCCAGAATGCAACCCTGAATATGGACTCAAGATCAATAAAAAGGATTTATAAGGGAAACAAGCCACACTGCAATATAAAGAAAACTATGTATGTGGCCATACCAGCTTGCTGACTCCCTCCCCAAATATAATTTCAAACTCAGCTTGCTTATAAGGTCTTGACACCTACAACAAAAATTATTTAGAAGAATAAAGTATGCCTAGTATTAACAACATAATTCAGGAGGAAGCGGCAAATAACTCTTAGGTACCAGAAATTTTCAATAAGCCCATATAAAATAAAGAATAGGTAAAGTTTGACAAAATCATCCATCAATAGAAATTTAAAAATGTGGGTTCAAGTATGATAGAGCAGAAAACTAGGAAAAGTCATTTATATTGAAAACGAATGTTTAGAAAGAAGACCAGATTTCAATGGGAAATTAGATTCCATGAAGCATAAGAAGTTCTAAGGGAACCTACAGAATGGTCAGAGACATAATTAAGTAATACAGGGACACATGTTCTTGTCATTGGAGCTACACACCTTACTCTTTTGAACTCTCACCCGAACTTTAACTCCAATATCTTCATCTCCTTTAACCTAAAACAAACAGAGATGTGTTCATTGCTAATGTCTTCAAACACTTCGAATTAAAATAATAGAATAAAATGGGAAGATATAGATTAATAGATTGAGCAAATTTTCGGCTTACCGACTTTATCTTCCCAGTTGGACGTATCTCAAGTCGGACAGATGCAAAGAACTTCAAAGCAATTCCACCGCTGGTGACTTCAGGATTTCCATAAAATACACCAATCTGGTTAAACCCCAAAAGAGTATCTTCATAAGCTATCAGATAGAAATACAAAATAGAGATGGAGAAGTCAGATCATGGAAGGTGCTAAGGATAGAATATTGGTACACAAAATCAATTCCATTCATCCACAGGCATCCAAATACTTAGTAACAAAAATTAGCCATACTCTTCTAAACGTAGCATCCACTGAACTAAAAAAACCTTGTGTCTTATTTGATTTAGGAATATAAGTGTACATCCAGCTTTGGAAGCAATGCCTGACATTTTACGCAGTGCTTGACTCATAAGGCGTGCTTGCAAACCCATTTGTTGCATTCCAATTTCACCCTACGGAAAAAGTAACACCATGAAAAAGTTTCAGCCTTCCAGAACATCACAAATTTTTACATAATAAAAAATATAAATTCATAACATACTTCAATTTCAGCTCGTGGAGTGAGTGCTGAGACAGAATCAATGCAAATAAGATCAATGGCACCAGATCTACACATACGATCCGCAACTGTAATATATAAAACAGGATAAATTGTAATTACTTCAAGTAAATCTAGCGCAACAAAAAGCTCACTGCCGTGAATAGTTTTGAATCATTAGTCTCAATTTTAACAAGGAAAGCAAATTACTCTCTAGTGCCATCTCTCCATTATCAGGCTGGCAAACAATCAGATTCTCTACATCGACTCCCAATGCTTTTGAGTATGCTGGATCAAAAGCATGCTCAGCATCAACAAGCATGGCATTACCCCCAAGCTTCTGCAGGTCGAACATTAAAAAAAAAAAAATCAAGTTGTTCTTTAAGTAAAGATTAGTTCAATAATTCTTAGATATGTATAGACATGCACATCCATATACGTATAGGCATGTTCGGAGGTGTTGCACACACATAGATACAAGTAAAATCAAATCACATACTAGACCTGCACTTCTGCAATTGCATGGAGCGCCAGAGTGGTCTTCCCACTACTTTCTGGCCCATATATCTGTAAAGAAAGGCACAAGATTATCAGGTTCAACAAGCAGCAGCTTATTCCTTGATATGCTAAATGCTGAAGAACAAAACAACCATTTACTCATTGTTTTCAGAACATACACACGCAATCTTATAAGTTCAATGGAATTGTTTGCTCTTAAAGGAGAAAATGTTGAAATTTACTCCAGAAAGTGGTCTATCATTATTTAAATCACTTAGCCCTTCCACTAACAGTAAAACCAAATGACAGGTTGAGGCCCTAGTAATGTCTTTACTAACTGCAGGTGAGTTTCAGGATCCGGCAGCTCAAAATATCTGGTAACAGTTCTGGCAGTAAATGTTTCGAACCACCATGATAGATACATTTACATCAGTAGAATGCTAATGCAGTGTTATTATCAGATCTATGGTGTCACACTTCTAAAAACAAGAAGACACTGCGATTGCAACCAGAGAAAATTAGATGGATAACATTATAAAGGTACTAAAAATAACACCTCTACAATCCTTCCTTTGGGAAGGCCACCACCTAAAGCGAAGTCTAATGTTAAGCAGCCACTAGGAAAAGTTTCACTGCACAGGGAAAAAGAGGCATAAGAATCAACTACCATGATAATAACAAGACATGCTACAGAAAAATTATCATCAACGATCAACACCTACACTAGAGCACCGCCAGCACTTCCCAATCTTGTAACACTTCCTTTCCCAAATGAGCTATTTATGTCATTCATAGCAGCATCGAGTGCTTTTTGCTGAAAATAAAGATTTACACAGTAAGATAGTAATAACCAATAATTGACTGCATATAAACATATTATTTAGACATGCGTTACAGTCTTATAAATAACAAAGAAAAGAAAAGAGGAAGTTTGTAGTAAAAAGGAGAAAAGTGGATATTCCAGGAAAGCTAGTGAAACTTTTCCAAAAGTAGTCTTGACTCTTATGCAATGCAGCTCACGTGAAAGCACCAATAATTTCTAAATTAATGTCAAATCTTCTTGTTTGTACAGCTATAATATATATAGAATATTTCTCCCAATTTATAATTCGGTATTACTAACTCTGCAATTTGCCGCCCCTGCTTCAATCTTCTCATAACTCAAAAACAAAAATGAAGATTGCTCTTTGCTATTGACAAACTGCAGTGCGGAACAGTTTTTACGTGCAATGCATTTTTTCAAAAAGCAAAGTCAAGAAACAAAAAGTGAAAATAGTCATAATAGGATAGACCACATCTTAGAGTAATGCAAAAGAAACCACCCAGTATATTCATCCAAAATTTAGAATAGTGAGTTCTTTCTAGCAATCAATTTCCGATGCTTGTAATCGCATTTACAAGATGAATTATCTATAGAGTGTCAGATGCAAGCATGCATACAGATATCATGTTCATTTATCACCTAAATTTTTGGGTGCTACGAAAAGAAAAATTTGGTATGCATACATTTGGTGTTATGTGATAGGGTGTTGTATACAAGGAAAGATCATGAGTAACGGGTGGTCCTGAACTCACTTGAAGAGATCAATACACAAAAATGGATGTCATGAAAATGTTTACTGCTCCAGAATGAATCCTTACCTCAAATTATAGGACATTGAAAATTACTTGTCAAGCGCCCATCCAATGCAAATTGATAGACAGGTTTTTATTGTCTGTTATAAGTACTAGGTTCTATTCAGGGATAAATCTCACAGGAATTTGGATTACTCCTCGTAATAAGATTGACCTTCAAATATGGTATCAGATTTCATTAAACTCCAACAAGAGATTTGATCAAATTTAGCCTAAAAAAGAGCATACAAAGTTCAAAATTGATCTGTTCAAACAGAGCCACCATCTTGAAAGGCATATTTAGGGATACATCCCTCATCAATAAAACACCGAAATATAGGCTGATCATATAAGAGTTTAGACCACTTCTCTTAACAAGGTTAAACATTTAAGATGAAATCCAAGTCTTAATAGGTTCAAGTAAAAAATTCACCTGTCATGTCTGATAAAGTACAATCTTTGCTAACTAATGCAAAATTTGTATCTTCGAATAATCCATAAAAAGTAATAAACTAAAGCACGGTTTAAAATAATTAATTTAGTAGTTTCTCAAATTCAAAC